GCCGAGTAGCTGAAAAGGTGCGGCAGGTACTGGTAGTGCGTGGACACCGGCGTGCCCAGGTACTGATCCCTGAGTGCAGCGAAGCCGTTCAGCTCCACCGACCTACTGGAGAAGGAAAAGCTCTTCAGTACACCCCCAAGACTCCACCTGATTCACTGCAGTGGCACATACAGCTCCACCAGAAATGTGAACAGAAATAGGAAAAGCAACTGCTGCACACCCAGCCTGGCTGGGCACTGGTTCCATTTGATGGAGATCTGGGAGCTGCTGCTGAGCTGCCACTCAGAGAGCAAAGCAGAAACCCAAAACCCACCTGTGCCCAGCCTTTCCACCCCAGCCTCCTCACAGGGCCAGAACTTAGCACTGTACATTAAGTACTCGCACAGCCAGAGAACACAAACAAGGCCAAGCTTAAGCTGCCACTGAAAGCAGATGGGATCAGGTCTGAGATTCTTACAGTGTTTGCAATCAAAGGCTGCATCAGGAGGTTTGCACTCACAGCAGCCAATTTTAACATAACACCACCCATTACTAACATAAATGGTTTTGTTTTCAGAATTTGAGCTAAGTGCAGAGAAAGAGCTCATGCAGAATGAGCAATGAAAGGTGATCAAGTTCTTAACATCTGCAGAAAACACAAACAATATAAACCGAGGTACATTTTAAATATAATTGTATGTCAAGATTTCTTCCTTTGCTCACAAACATCTCATTTCCCAGTTCAATTCTTTTCAACCAGTGCCTGTTTGTCTTAGAACACAATCAGAGAGGTAAGAACCTGCTTCATGATCTTGTTTACACAAAGATGCACTCACATGTTTTCCCTACACTGACCCCAAGTATCACTCAGGGAAAGAAATCCAAGATTCCTGTAACCAAATTCTTCATTCCCACCTTGAAGATGGAGTAGAAACAGGTGAAGGCTGGTTGCTCTCAGAAACTCCATTTCCAGGGGAACTATGGTCACTGTCTCCGTTGTTGCTCCATGACATGTTTGCCTCTCCCTCAAATTCTTGCCCAGACATAATTCTCTCAATCTCTTCCTCTGATATCTGTCAAATACAGGACACAATGGTTGGGAACAGAAAAGCAGAGCCTCTGTTTGCAAACACCCCCGACAGGGCTGAGCCTCCTGCCCCTCTGCAGCTACCACATCCTACCCCTGCATTTAACAACACACAGGGAAAATTCTATTTACAGGTGATCGCGGTGACCTCCAGCAGCACCGTTCAAGCGAGGGCAGCACAGCACACAGGAACTGACACGTGAGGAGATGATGTCAGATGGGCATGGCAAGGAGCTGTAAATCAGCCATTGTCACACCCTGAGAAACCTGGCAGTAATTGAGGCCAGGGCATCGGGAACATCACTCAGGACTGGCAGGGGGAATGGCAAACAGGAGGTGGGGCAGGCTCTGGTTTGATAAAGCAATCAAGAGAGGCAAGGTGACACATATAAAATCAGTCAGGAAAACATTTACAGGGAGACAGAGCTCCTTATTTTCCTCCAGATAAGAACCAGGTGGCACCTGAAGTACCAATTGAGCATCTAATACTTAAGTTCTAGAGAGTAACATACACAAAGCTGAAATAGAGTAAAAAAATTTTTACATTGAGTTCACTGTAATAAAAAGTTTCAAGAAAGTGCTGGGCATGCTCCTTGAGGAATGTTTCACCACTAATGGGGAAAATACAGCAAAAATTTAGAGGCTTTTTTTTTTTTTAATTCTGTGTGTGTTTTTTTAAATTCTGTGTATGTTCCTTAATGTGAACACAGGAAACAGGTTTGTGTGGTTGCAGGCTGTGTCTGACACCATCCAGCAGGGCAGAGTTTGCTTGGCTCCTCACACTTTGGGCTGGGCTGAGGGCTCCTTCCCAGGCACTCAGACCCACAGAAATTGCTTTCAGTGTTATTTCTATTTTGCTAAAATAAACACTAAACTTTTAAAAGACCTCTCTTGCAGGAGCAAGCTGGAAATGGCCATCATTCCTCAGGCTGTGGCACAAGCTGCTGTGCTGAATTCCCTCTCTCTTTACAAGGCATCTCTGCACAAGCTGGGCCATCAATCAGACAGACATTTACTGGTGCCCTGCTTGCCACAGCTGAAGGGATTGCAGCAGGCAGATGAGATTTACTGGGAGTCAGGGAGGGACAGACGTCCTTGTGTGGCTCACAAAGGACAGGGTGCAGCGAGCCTGTCCGTGTGTCCGGGCAGCACCCAGCTCCATTTACCATCTACAGCTCCTGACGTGTTCCTGAGCGAGCCAGAGCCTGCCACACCATCAGGAGGCACGGCCAGGGGTGATGGAGGCTCAGCCCAGGACACCAAAGCTGAAGGGAACCACAAGGGACAGCCACACGTGCTCACCTGGACAGGTCCAATGCTTTTGTTTCTGCCTCCTGGCATGCCATCCTCCCTGATTGCTGAAAGATACAACCAAACCTTAGTGAGGAACCCTACTGCAGGGTATTAAGCAGATACCTATTTATGTTGAAAGAAGTTTTTATACCTTAAAAGATTCATTTTTTTCATTAAAGAAGTTTACAGAGAAACCTCCAGTGCTTCAGCAGCACACAGGATGGTTCTCTCCCCAAAAGGCACAGACACATCCATAGGGCTACAAGCATTACTCAAGGATTTTAGCTTCTTCATGTGCTCCTTGAGTGACAGGTAATGAGGAAATAGCAATCCCTTATCACAATTAATTTCTGCATAATTTGAGAAGTGGAACAGGGTAAGGAACTCTATCTGACCCCTGGAAATAACCCAGAGAATGCCCAGGACTGCTGGAAAATGAGATGTGAGGCCAGCACGACCAACTCCACCACCCACAGCCCCGTGGAGCACCAGAGAGACACCCCCAGAGCAGCCACCAGCACAGACACACAGCACTGCACTGCTGGATTACAACCCTGCTGCGCCTTCAGAGGGTCCCATCTCCTACAGCCACCACAGAAAACGGAGGGGAGATGTCTGACCCTGCTGCCTGCTTGCAAAGCTGCTGTTTAAACCTCAAGTTACCACCCCGAGCTGCCCAGCTGCATTTCAGAGGGGCAGCCTCATTTCTCAGCTGCATTTTTAAGGCTCTTTAATCAATTTCCAGGGAGCTGCAGTGAAACCCAGCTAAGGGGATAAACCTGGAGCAGTTTCTGTACCTTGCCCTTCCCTCTGTCTGTTTCTGCAGAGGCAGTGGCAGCCCTGCTCCGTGTCCCCCCTCCCAGGCTGGTCCCTGTTTATCAGGGCCTGATCTCTTTCCCACCACGACCTGGCCAGGCTTGGCAGGAGGCTCTGCCCAGCTGCACGGTGACCTTGCTGCTGCACAGCCTCACCCTGCTTGCCACAGGGGCTGCACGAGGCCCTCCCGGAGCAGAAAATGACACAAAATTTGAGCGAATATTTCTGCCCCACAAAAGCCACGCTGCTGCTTGGGTTGAGATATCCTCGGCTGGAATCCTCCCCGTGTGCCTCGAGGCTGCTCTGCAGCTCAGGGAGTGCCTCAGCAGGGCAGAGGAGAGGGCCACGGGAGCTGAGCTGTGCCTGCCCAAACCCCAACCACCGACCCCAGCAAGGCACAGCACTGGCTGTGCATTTCCTATGAAAGCTCTTTAAAAAATAAAATCAGTTTCTCACTAAAAAAAATAAAATATGTAAAAAAGGCTGTCATAGTTAGCTGTTACCCCCTTTAGGTTTTTTTAACTTACTGGAATTACAGGAATTCTGGGGGAATTGTTCTTATTTTCCAAGATGATATACCACTAACTGTGATTTAGAAGCTTCCCAAATTGCCTTGGTCTTTTGATTTCAAAGCATAATTTTAGCAGAAAATAGCTTACACCTACAACAAAATGTAGGAATGTTTTTGCTGGTGGTCCATCAAAAAGGCCTCTAGAATGGTTCTCAAATACAGATGGACTCTCTGGAATACCATCCTGGTCCTTGGCTGCATGACAGCCAGACTCCTCAAAGCTGGTTTTCCTCCCAATGCTAAGCTCTGCCCCTTATCTGAATTTTAAAATTATTGTATTTAGACCTAATATTGAAGGGATTTTCCAACCCAACAATGCCACAATTGGGCACCAGGGCAGGAAGAGAGAGCTCCAGAACCCAACACTGAGGGCCGTCAGGGCTGCCTGAGGCCTCCCTGGCCTTGGCAGAGACACCAGAGGGGAGTGAAATTCACACGGTTGTTGGGGGAAGGAAGAAAGAGGAAAGGAGGAAAGGAGGAAAAGGGAAAGGAGGAAAATAAAAAGGAGGAAAGGGCGGGCCGGAGGGGAGCAGGGAGGGCGGCGCGCGGCCGGCAGGTGGCGCTGCGCTCCCGCAGGTGAGAGCGGCCCCAGGTGAGGGACCCGGGCTGATCCCAGAGCCACGGCACAGCCCTGGCCCCCAGGTGAGGGGCTCTGAGCTTCCCCCAGACCCACAGCACAGCCCTGATACCCCCAGGTGAGGGGCTCTGAGCTGTTCCCAAACCCACAGCACAGCTCTGACCCCTGGGTGAGGGGCTCTGAGCTTCCCCCAGACCCACAGCACAGCCCTGACCCCCAGGTGAGGGACCCGGGCTGATCCCAGAGCCAGACACAGCCCTGGCCCCCAGGTGAGGGGCTCTGAGCTTCCCCCAGACCCACAGCACAGCCCTGATACCCCTCAGACCCACAGCATTCCTCCGTACAGGAATGAAGCAGCTCAGAGCTTAGTATCTGTGCAAAATTTTTAATCCATGCACGATTTTGCTGAAGTTTTGGGGTTTTTTTGCTTTGGTTTTTTTTTGTTTTGTTTTTTTTTTTTTTTTTGCAGGGAGTTTGGGAGGCACAATTGCAGTACAAGATGGCAGCTGTGAGGGAGGAGCAGCCCCCATGGTGGCACTGTCCCCTCTCCCCGATGCTGTGGCTGCCCCACGGTGGCAGTGTCCCCTCTCCCCATGGCAGCCCCCACGGTGGCAGTGTCCCCTCTCCCGGCGTTACCTTTGCGGTTCATGCCCATCTGCAGGCACTTGAGCAGCCGGCAGTACTGGCAGCGGTTGCGCTGCTTGCGGGACATGACGCAGTTCTTGTCGCGGCTGCAGCGGTACACGCGCTTGTTGCAGATGCTCCTCTTGAAGAAGCCCTTGCAGCCCTCGCAGGAGATGATGCCATAGTGCAGCCCCGTGGCCCTGTCGCCGCAGATCAGGCAGGTTCGCTGATCCACCCGCTCATCTGCAAGGCAAGAGGGAGCTCTGAGGGGAGCCTGGCCTGGTTTCTGTCGGGTGGCTCTGGCTGAGGGGCGGCCACAGGGTCCAACCTGCAGGGACAGCTCCATCCTCCCCTTCCCCGCTGCCAGGCAGGGCCCTGGGGCTCTCCCCAGCAGCCTCCATCAACCTTCCCGCTGTTCTCACCAGAGAGGAACAGAAACTCCAATGGGTTTGGAGAGGGACAAAAACTCCAACTGCAATATCCCACCTCAACTGCACAGAGTGCAAATACAGAAACCTGGCAGACAGCAGTGACTGTGAAATCCTGTCACATCTCACAGACTCCAGGGGCACCTCTGGGCTTCAACAGCATCACTGCCCTCATGAGCCACTGCCCAGAACCTGAGAGAGCATCATTACAGAAACCATCCTACAGCTGAGCCACAGTGATGTGATTTTACTGGTCCTTTTCCAAATCTTTGAAAAGCCTTTGGATGACTAAAAATGTAAATTTCAGGGCTCTCCACAACAGGAGCTGTCACATTAAATTCAGTATTTTAAGACTGTAACACTGCCTGAGGGAGAGAGCAGAGATGATGCTCAGCTCGGTCCAGACAGGGATATCAAACAGAAAGGAAGATGATGGTGAAGAGACCCAGGTAGGGCACGCAGATTCTCATCACCTCCTACTGCATGGGGAGGCCTAAACCTCACTTCAACCAAGTCAGCTATGCTTAAAATAATGCCAGCAAGTTGCACCAGCAGCTCTTCCTGCAGCAGATGTTCCACAGCTCAACAGTTTAACCCCTTGCACACCAGGCCAAGCTGTCCCAGCCCCCATCTCATGTTTTAACCCCATAAAATCCCAACAGTTGCAAACAGATCTACACTGCAAAGGTGGGAGCTATCAAATACATTCAGGGACACACAGATCTGCAGTTTTCCAGTATTCTCCGTGGGGTTGCTTTCCCAAATGTAAAACATTACCCAGATGACTGGATCACCCTGGCTGAGCCAGGCACGAGAAGAGAAAGGAACCACTCAGCTGCCTGGGCACCGAGCAGGGCACGGCAGCTCCCCGTGCCCATCACCCACACTGGGAGCCAAGGGGAGCTCACAGTGGGCACACACAAACCCACACTATGCCCAGGGTGCTGCCCACACTCACTGCTCCTGTGTGCACACAGAACCTTCCCCAGGCTTTGGGCAGCACTGACTGTGGAGATGAGCTGGGTCAAACTCGCCCCAGCACAGCACCAAGCCGATTTTCCTCATTCAGATTTGACCAGGGAGTTTTCTGAGACAAAGGTGTTTATCCACAGGATGGATTTGTGGAGCAGCAGGAGGTAAGAGTCACAGTGAAGTCCTCTCCAGCCTCAATAAAGCCCAAGCAAGCTGACAAACCAGGGTGTAGCTTCTTACTGCTGCAGCACATGTGAATGCAAGAGAAATGAATGAGCCAAATGTTTTGGGAGCAGAAATTAAACCAGTTTTCTGTTACACAAGCCAAGTAAAAATCTAAACCAGCTGCTCCTACTCACAAGCAGCTTTCTCCAGAGCTTAAACCCAGTAGAAACCAGAACCAATCTGTGTTAATCTCTAAAAGGTTTGCTATGCACAGCATGCACATTTGCACTGTTCTGCAAATTTCACTGTTCCAAAACATTAAAAAAAAGGGATGAACAAAGGAAATACAAACTTTAAGTGAAGAAACATTCCTGATTTGCACCCAAACATCCCCAGTTTCACATGACAGACCCCCTCAGGTATGTGCTGCACCCAAAGGAATGTGGGTACAACCAGGCTATCTGAGCATCTCTGAAGGGAGGCAGCTAAACATGACTTTGCAGCCACCGAGTGCATAATCTCCACCTTCAGCAATCTGATAAGCGCGGGGAGGGGGCCGGGGATTAGGCAGGACAGAGGAGCCTCTATCTGCAGGGTTTAGCTCAGGCTCAGCTCCGCTCCCAGCCCTCCCCCTGCTCGCAGAGCCGTGCCATAAATCCCCTCAGCAGCAGTGCCCGGCT